TACCATTCCAACGCTACTTACCTACGAGCATAGCATCGATACCCACATCTATAACCATTATGTTTTTAACGTTTTAATTGGCCGCGCGCCTTCAGTCGGTCAAAACAAACTCTCGTAATCGTCCGCTGCCCATGTCTAGTCTTTAAAAACACTACAGCCGCCTGTGATGAATTATCATTCCAATACATTTAATTGACAAATTGCTGAGACATTATGATGAAGTAATAAGTACACAAAAAACGTAATAAACACAACGTTTCTTTGTTCAATAATAATTCTAAAGCAGTTTACATTGTTTTTATGATAACTATTAATAGTGTCCGTGAATGTTTTATGTTTCCTGTACCTACCACATACTTGCATAATAACTTGTCATTCGAATTCACATTTCGTACTACAACATATATTTGCTGTAAGTTTAGACCTAGAAGTTATAAGTAAGCAAGTATCTAAACGTTCAAACTGTTATAATAAAAAATATTTAAATGTTAGTGATAGTTACTGGACATAACTTCGGCAATAATGACATTGAATAGTTCATAGGCGTAGTAAAACTTTTGACTCACATTCTTATGCTGGTCACACACGTTAGTGCTTTTATTATAGCCTTTTTATACGTTACGTTATTAATGTCGCATTGTCACATTAAAAACTGAACGAGAAGTAAGATCGTTGTCAGAATTTAAAATTATATCAGGTAACCGTTGCATTTGAGAGGTAACGGTTTATGACCGCTCGGCATGGGCGACGCCGCGTTTGCGGGCGGATGTAGAAAAAAAATACAACGTAGGTAATTTACATTGGTCGTACGTGTCGGGCGATAGCGGGCGCGGGACCTGTGAATGAACATCGACAACAACAAACGTAACGTGAACGGCGCGGTGCGATGCGGTGCGAGTGGCCATTGATATCTTCATTCAGCGACCGGAAACATAAATCAGCGCCGCCCTGGACTATGCGGCGTGCAACTCGTGTTTGTCATCTTCAACTCCTTTGTTTACCTTGAATTTTTGACCTTCAACCTATCTACCGCCGCTGGAACATAATTACTATGGCAGGCAATCACACCTGACACACTTGCCACTTCCAAATTTACACGCTACTTATTCTAGTTTAAACTTGAAACTTTTAATATTTAATTAGCAAAATATCATAACTTTATTTCATTCAATTATAGATAAAAAATTATATTGAACGTTATTACATATATGACCATGTATAGTACAGTTGTGTGTTTCATCCTACAATACAAGCTACACGGAAGGCATGAGAGACAATAATAAAAATCTAACTGAATCTGGGAGATTCGTCATAGTATACGCAGTAAGATGAGGCGAGGCTGCGAGCACGCGGTACGGCGGCGAGACGTCTCCGCAAGCCGGATATCCGGGTCCGCGCGGTTTGCGATCCGCGACGCGTAGGCGGCGCTGCACTGCTCGGGTCCAATGGAATAACGCCAATGAGCGCCAGACGAGCGCGGCTCTATTTGCAGTGAAAGTGCAACTGAGTCACGCTCGATATCAGAAATAGAGCTGCGCTGGCGCTGCCGCCGCTGCAACGGCACACCGGACTGTTTTGTACGCATTAATGGACAGAACGCGCCGTTTACGTAACAAACTGTCCAGTTATATGGCCACTCTCGTCTGGTAAAGTCATCAATGTTCTAACTTCAAATGTCTAAAATACATAATAAATTCTGCGGTTAAGATAAGTTTTGCAATGTCTTGAAATCTGTAGTACAAACTCACCCAATGAATAGGTAAAATTGTTAACGTAATTGTTTGATTAATTATATAAGTAGCCTACGATTATGATAATGTAAATATTAATCGGCACAACAATACAAAAATTATGAGATCATAATGTAAAAAACGTTGTCACGGAAGAAGACTGTTTACCTGCAAGAAAAATAACTATTGCTTCCTTGTATTTGCACATAATGGTCGAGTTAATAGAAATATGCAGTTGTTGGGGTAATCACACTTAAAAATAAGTGGGAAAACATCGAAAAAAAAAAAACATATGGTTGGTCAATGGAAAAAATTGTCTACAATTCTCTTAGTAGATAAGTGCACTCAAATGGTTTGGTACCTCTGGTTGGTACATAAGTATAGTAGAGCCGTGAGATCTAAATGGGAATAGAACACAAAATAAACGAACTATTCAAATTACTCGCTCGAGATGTACAAAGTCGTTGTGCATGCATCATTGCATACTGTACCTGTAATGACGCAACCTGTTTATCCGACGAGCAACCAACGAGCGAGCTCAATGACTATAATTTTACTAAATTATCGTAAACGTAAAAGCTACGCGGCGTCAACCATTAATAAAGAGACGACTCTCGTACCATGAAACGACTTGCTTATTCCCACGTCGCCTTGAACTTTCAAGCTCGTTCTAGTGTTATACGAATTTGCGCTTTTACGACAGGCATCCGTTTGGTTCGGCGACGGGTCTGGCTGCGTGGTACGGGGGCGGGGTGTGCGGGCGGGCGGCGCGGAGGCTGTAGTAGCGACGTAGTAAGGCGTGGCGGGGCGATGCCGCGCGGACTCCGCTCGATATATTGTGTTTGCAGTACAATCTTAACACCATAGTGATGGATGTTTGTATCGATATTGTGACATTACTTATCTAATGAACACTGAAATGTAGTCTATTACTGAAATAAGAGAACTAAAATAAAGTTTGTTATTCTAGTTACGAGTTTTACGATTATTTACTAGAATAACTTAACATCACCAACATGCCACATTGAAAACCTACACATTCACAATATATATAGTTGTGCTATTTAAACTACACCGCAAGAACGTAGATAAATTTAATAAAAGTTTACAAAGAAACATCGACATCGAGTGCGTTGTAGCCCATACCTGTGTGGAGTACTATAATAACATTCCATTGCCTATAAATACTTGCTCAAGTGTAGCAAAGTGAGGGTAAGGGGGGGGGGGGACTGCGCTATGCGACTGAGTTCATTTGCATTGCATAGAGCTGCACTATTATGGCGCGTCTGAAGCCAATGTTTGTAGTGGGCACTAGGCGCGCTGTTTTCATTGGCGGCAAAATGTTACCACAGGTTTCCAGTTTCTATTGCCGTAATATGTATAAGAAACATATTGTTATTTTCAAGGAGAGAGGATGATAATAAGTTTCGTATAAATGTCTTTTAGCAATGGAAGCCGACGGTTACTCAAAGTTTAACTGTATTTGGGTGTAAACAGATTTTTATAATTAGGTAGTTTAAATTATGTACCCGATTGAAATTTCAAATTGAGCTACATTTGCACTACCGAAACATGGTTTTTTAATTTTTCTCTCAATAAAGAAACTGAATTATGCTCAAATAAAGGATTTATAATTAAATTATACCAGATAAATACAATGTTGAGCCTTAATTAAGTTTAATTACTAAGGCTCTTATGAATTGTAATAAACAAAGTTAATTACTGGCAACGAGCAGTAGAAACGAAGAGTTTATTGTTTTTGTTTACGTTGGACGCCATTTTTAGTAATGGCCGCGTGGTTTGCAAACGTACGTCGCGGCGCGGTGGATCGGCGCGCATGCGCTAATGTTCTCTCTATGGACGCACTGTGTTGTGCGTACTGCGTACTGCGTAGAAACGCACTTCCGATACTACGCAGTAGGGTGACCTTGCCTCGTACTTCACTCCCTTTACCTTGTACTACTCGAATTTCTATTACAAATGTTGACATAAACATTGTTAGGAAAACAACTTGGTAATGTTATTATGCTCTATACCTTATTGTACTTTTGTTATTTATTATTATTATAATTTCAACAAACACGTCTATGATATAGCATCATAACGTAATTATTGGTCTATGCCATATATCATCAATTTTATTAAAAACAAATGAGTACCTTTGGAGAATAAGACTAACTTGCTTGTTCTATAACACTGATTTAACTACTCTATTGGATAAAGTTCTATAAAGATGAGAGATTTTTTTATGTTTTTTTTTATCTTCCGTTCATAATTGTGGTATACTGGATGGATGGATACTTATGGTCTGAAATACACGAAATGAGGAGTCAATTCGTGCGTATATAAGATCTTAAGTAAAATATATTAACAGTAGCATTAAGCTAGCATGTGGTCCCCCAACAATTGCTATGCGGGAGATCATTAGCGAATAATCGAGTGCGCACGAAGGGGATAACAAAATAATCATTTGTAATTGAGGAACGTGCCGGCGCGTGCCTGATGCGAGGCCGGCTTGCTGTTTACGAGAACCAATTTACGTGCAGCCCGTATACACATTGATTGATCATTTCGTTGTTAGTTCACACTTTGTTGACAACAATGTTATTAACTTCTTACGGCTAAGTATTGAAACGACATTTCAGTATGTAGCATGGTCTTGATGATAAGACCACGCTTTAACTTAAATTTTCATTACAATATTGGCAGATTGTAACCCGCTTTTCAGAACGGATCTCAAACAGAGATTCGTTTCAAAATTCGGCCGTTAGAATGTATGCTCATTGTAAAAGCTTTTCTAAATTATAAAGATGTGCTTGACGAGAAAGTGTAAAGATGAAGATTAGATTCTTGGAAGTACAGTTTATTTCTACTAATAAATGAGCACTAGAAATATGTCTATGAAAATACATCAAATCACTCTTGAAAGACTTAAAAGTGGTACTATAATGTTTTGAAACGTTTTTCCACGAACTAATGTTGCATTGGGGGACTGTTACGCAAATCACGATGTTTCTTTGAAGTAAAATTCCTGAAAGCGTTACAAATAGCTTATAACAAATGCAGCTTTCAAAATATTTTCAACAATAATTTAATATTCAGTTTTAAACATACAAATGTTATGTAAATATTTTCGATGATATCTTCTATTATACGTAGGCCTACGTCAAGTTTGTGGCAAACATCGGTTTCAAATTGTGGTTGTAACTTTGACCAAAATACGTTACATTGTACAACTTTTTCTAATTTATTTTTTAAATTTCGTTGCAGTATGCCCGTCACTAGACATACGGAACAATGCGGACCAGATGATGAAGCTGCGCGGCTGCCGCGTGATCGAGGGCCACCTCAGCATCGTGGTCATCGAACACCCGTCTTCCAACGCCTACGACAACATGAGCTTCCCAGAACTAAGAGAAGTTACAGGATACATTACTATATATAGGTAATCTCAATAAATTTATGGATAGATATAATTAAGTAAAATGAAAAATAACAGACTAAAACGATTTTTATATTTGCAGATTGATGGGCGTGCGCAACCTCGGCAACCTGTTCCCAAACCTTTCAGTGGTGCGCGGCATGCAACTCTTCAAGGATTATGCCATTGTTGTCTTCGATTGTCAAGATCTTGAGGTGAGAAATTTTTTTTATCTACAGTTGTACATTGTTCAACTGGTTTTAATATTCTTTTGGGCTTATTAATTCTTTGGGTTGCGGACGTGAGCGTTATGTGTTAGTAAAGGTTTCCGCTGTGACAGTCGCTGGGGCTGCGGTCGCTGACGCGGGTGGAGCGTGGCGGCGTGCGCATCCAGCAGAACGACCAGCTCTGCTACACCAACACTGTCGACTGGTCGCGCATCGTGGCTGACGGCGACGACAACATCTTGATCCGGGTAAGGTGGGGCAGTTCTCATTCATACATTTCTTACACTAAACAATCATGATACTGATATTTTAAATCGAACTAAAATTTCTTATCTCTACTATTTATTGTAATTTTGATGTACGTGTTGTGTTAAAAACAAGTTTGATATTTTCTTTATATTAATAAAATTTGGAGTGGTGGAAAGTGCAACTCGCGATAAAAACATCCTCGAGGCCGCGGCCCCAACTAGTTTGTTCGCAACCTTATATTGGCGGGAAACCGCAGTGACGCTATTGACCACATGCCGTCGCGTTCGCTTCGTGCTGATAACCGGTCAACGGTAGCCCTGCCCTACGCTATTTCTATATTTTTTATTTGTTTATGAAATAACAAATATTATTTATATAAGTCAATTTGCTCTTTGACAATACTCGTTAAAAAATTGTAGATTTGTAGTTAAATCAGGCCTTTATAATTTCACAACGCATGTCTACAGGCAATTTAGGCGAATTACTAACAAAAACGCAAACCATTGCTAAATAACAAAACGTAATACCTAGAAACGATAACATCAGTACACAGTGCAGCAGTACGTTGCAATTGGTTCGTGGCTAGTGTCGCATAATTCCAACATTGCACCTAAAAACTAATTTCCTGCAAAAGGCTTGAACTTAGTTTTTATACTGCAGTGAATAGTGTACATAACGTATGTATAACAAGACTTAAATGTTGTACTCCAAGTAAACTATACTTGTAGCCAATGTTGTGTTGTTTTGTGCACTTCAACTGCTTTAATAAACCTATCGGAAACAGTAAAACTTATTGTTTATCAAACATTTGCTAGCCCTTAAATGATTATCCGAATTACCGCATACACACAAACACAAATACAAAATATCATATGTGTTAAAATGTGCAGAAATGGATGATAGAATGTTTTAATCTTAGGTTATTATGTTATGTAGTCGAACTACGACACGCGACTGTGCGGCCTGTGCCCCAGCCCGCAGGGGCACAAGGAGGACACGCAGAAGGACTCCCAATGCCCCACCGACAGCTCCGGCCGCCCTCTCTGCTGGGACAACCAGCACTGCCAAAAGAGTAAGCTTATATACCATCTGGACGTTTCATCTTCTATCATCACCATTTGTTCTGCGATGTTTTAGTGGTATTACTAGGTTTTTATCATAGGATGCTATACGACTATTGTCAACGAACTGCAGACATAAGTATTTCTATGATTTACGTGTTCTTAGATGAAAAAAATTAATTAAATACTGATTTCGGCTCCTAGCGCCTTTAAAAGGAAGGACCAACAATCAGTAAATTGGTCATGTGTGAGCTTTGTAGTATAATAAGATTAGTTATTATTGTTTTTCATATAGTTAACGGTTACTCAATACATGTAGCATGTCCGAGCTCCTGCGGGGGGCGGTCGTGCACACGCAACGGTACTTGCTGCAACGTGACCTGCCTGGGAGGCTGCGACGGGCCGCTGGCGCGCGACTGCCACGTCTGCGCCAACTACTCCCTCGGCTACGGCGAGAACCGCACCTGCGTCACCTCCTGCCCCGCAAACACCTACCGGGTAACTACCATTTATAAACGAGTGATCCACATAAATTCGTCGAGAAAGCGAAGCGATCGTTGCCCAGAGTCATCCGCAATTTCAGATGCTTTGCTTTCCCTTCATCAACGGAGAAGGAGACGCACATAAAGAGGATATTTCCTCTTCCTATGCGTCTCATCCATCGTCAAATCCATTTTTCCTATCCATCCCGGACTCCAGCACCTCACTTATCAGACGAAACGCAGCATTGTTTCCACTTCACGGCTGGTCTTTGTTTTTGTTCATAACTAAACCAAGAAAATGTAACTGGTGTCATCATCATTTCTTATCCTACTCCTACTCCCGTAGGGTTAAACCTGACTGGTTTGTATATGGGTTTACTTTATCCCGTGTGCAGCTGTCGCGGCGCTGCGTGACGGAGCAGGAGTGCCGCGCGATGCCGCCGCCGCAGCCCGCGGAGTCCAACCAGCCGCCGCCCAACATCCGCGCCTACAAGATCCTCAACAACACCTGCGTCTACATGTGCCCCAACGACTATATGGAGGTACCCAACTTCTACCCGCGCTCTCAAATACGCACAAAATGTAACATCAAAGTAATGTAACTTAGTGTCTTATCCATTCGTAATTATTTCAACAACTTGTTCTATCTATACTAATATTATAAAGAGGAAAACTTTGTTTGATTGTAATGCATAGGCCTAAAAAACTACTATGCCGATTTTAAACATACTTTCACCATTAGTAAGGTAATTGATCTGTGAGCAACAAAGGCTATATTTTCTTTTCTTTATTATTATTTTTAAATTTCACGCGAAAGGAGTCGCGGGAAAAACTTAGTATCTTCTTATATTACAAATGCAAAAGTTTGGATGGATGGATGTTAGAGTAACCTCAACTAATGAACGGAAGAAAATGAAAAATGATGAAATTTGGCATAGATGTAGAGAATTATCTGGAAGAACACTACTTACTTTTTTATATTTGACTAAAGCCCGGTCACCCTACCTTAGGGTAGGCTCCGAGGGTGTCAGTGGGGACATATAGTGATGTCATATGTGACTGCGGCAGGTGGGCGACGTACACAACGGCACGTGCAGGCCGTGCCTGCCGGCGGGCTGCGTGCGCGAGTGCAACGGCGGCCGCGTGGACTCCGTGGCGGCCGCGGAGCACTTCCGCGGCTGCACGCGCATCAAGGGCACGCTCGAGATCACGCTCAGAGCTAGCGGCGGCAAGTACACTTGATACATTCACCAAAACCCCACCAAAAATTGTCTTTACCTTGCAATCTTTGACTGTACAGTACATTGCAAACGAAACAAACTCTAGCTTTACCTGACAATAACTATATAGATAGCAGTGAATTGAAAACTATATAATTTTGGAAGTCAGTTATGAAAAAAGTAGTCTTGTATCACTAAACGACTTTTTTTCGTATAGATACGTTTATAACCTGCGTTACATTGGTTTTTGTTCCGTTCGTTTTAAAATATTCAAACGATTGTAGCCTTTAAGGTGAAACACCGCCAGTTTCCACGACCATTGAGTAGATATGTGACATTTGGGAATACTCCAAACCGTCACCGCGCTCTGTCCCCACGTGGTGACATATGAGAATAAATAGTTTCATCCGTCCCAGCTTTTGCGACGGGGGTTGGAACTTATTATATTTCATAAAGGTTCAATCTGTCACCTTATTGGTGATGGCGGGGTTAAAAGGTGGGACGGGTGAAACATTATTCTCACGTGGGGATAGAGCGGGGTGACGGTTGGGAATAATCCTACTTTTGCGATGTTTTTAACTCATTGACATGTGTGTGCAGGTAACACGATATCAGTTCTGGAATCTTCCCTGGGTGAGATCCGCGAGATCGACGGCAGCCTGAAGGTGGTCCGCTCGTACCCGCTGGTCTCCCTCATGTTCCTCAAGAAGCTGCGCCGCATCGGAGGACATAACACCGATGCTAAGTGAGTCTGTAATATCCCACACTAATATCTATTTGACTTGTATATACTTATTTAAAATTTTATTTTGTAGTCTATAATAAAATAAAAAAAAGTGTAATCACACACTTTATGTAGAATGTTAGCAATTATAGCATATTTTTTAATAATACTTTTTTAAATAAAATCTCCAACACTTACAACTTACCTAGCACATAGCGTGCTATATGTATATTTTCACGAAATATTATTTAGGGGATGGATAAATCAAAGTTTTTTTTTATATATATAAAATGTAAAGACAGCAACAAAAATTTCCTGTACCTTTAAATTACTAAGTTAATATTGTTACAGAACACCGAGTTTGTACATCTCGAACAACCCTAACCTGGAGATGTTGTGGGACTGGTCGGTGCACAAGCCGATAGAGATAACGCGAGGGAAGCTGTACATCCACTTCAACTCCAAGCTGTGCTACAACCACATCCTGGAGCTGAGGAACATGACGCGCGACCCCATCTCCACCTTCGACACTATTGAGGTCTCCGCAGAGAGTAATGGCGATCAGGCATCCTGTGAGTTACAGTCAATATTAGTTTTATCAAATACAAAGGAATTAAAACCCTCGGTCGTAACGATTTTGTTGAAATAAATATGTTAAAGAATAAAACGATGTTTCTCCGTTTAAATATTGAATTTATTTGTAAAAGAAAAAACAATAATTCTGAACTAAACATTATGACAGAGAATATTTTAAATTAAGAACAGAAATTCCAAGGAGTATTTCAACAGACATATTGTTTTAATTGCATTGAGTTTGCATATCTCTCTACTATATCTCTACAACTATACATGTTTTTAATCAGTGAAAACCGACTGTTACAGTTTGACAGATGCACATTGTACATACTAGTGCTAGCCAGGATTACCTACAAACATAAACATTAGTTTGTTTCCGTTGTTCTTTGTTAGGTTTCCAAGACGTGCTGGAGCTGAAGGTGAGCACGCTGAAGCAGCGCGCGGCGCTGCTCACGTGGCGGATGTACTGCGCCATGGACATCCGCAACATCCTCGGATACTCCATATACTACATCGCCGCAGAACACAACGTCACCCTCTACGGACAGCGCGACGCCTGCTCCGACACGTTAGATACACTTTTATTTATTTACGAGCTGTTGCCCGCAAAAATTGTTCGCGTGGAATTTAAAAAAAATGGTTGTCTATAACATTCCCGCGTGCATCTGCTTTTTACCAGCTACCTTCCAGTCCCGTCCAAATCGGTCCACCCGTTTTAGAGATAGCAGTCTGGTCGCCATTCTGACAGCGCGGAATTAAAAAAAAGTAGCCTATAATATGGCCGTCCATGTCAGCTACCCTTCAGTGAAAGTCTGGTCGAAATCGGCCCAGCCGTTTCAGAGATTACCCGGAACGCGGCTTGTGGACAGACAGACAAAAAAATTGTTAAATGCAATTTTCATTATTTAAAAAAATCTTTTTTCTCTTAGGTGGAGTGTGAAAGACATACCGATAGACAACGCGCGGTTCACCGATAATAAGACGACGCCGATCGCTTTGAACGGGCTGCGCGACCCTTGCGAGGACATGCAGCCCTTCTTCTCCCCCATCTCACCCCTCGTGCCCTTCAGGCGCTACGCCGCTTACGTCAAGACCTACACCACCAAGCAGGACAAGAAGGGCGCGCAGAGCCCCATCATATACTTTAAGACCTTGCCCGATTGTAAGTATTTACACTACTTTGTACACAAAATACACTGAACTTGGCGTTGCGGAAACTATAGATCTTTTTAGATCTACTATAGCTACCATTAATTCAAAGTATTTTTATATCTATTTTATATGTATCGGATATAAAATAGATATAAAAATGCTTTGAATTCCTTTCCTCTATGAGAGACTACCTCAAAGGTAGAGGAAGACCGAAGGTAGTATGGATGGACTGTGCGAATGAGAATATGTTTAAGAAGGGCGAAAAGGCGGATAGAAATATATGGAAGCAGCACACGCACATACTGTGCCGACTTTCTATAGGAATAAGGGCAAGATGATGATGATTCTCTACGAGTTGGCAGTCCATTCCTATCCCCTAGCTACCATATTGTGTTTAGTTGATTTTAGTTTTGGGTAATAAATGAATGAATTGCAGCTCCCAGCCCGCCGCTGGGGCTGACAGTGGAGCTGCGCACGCCGCACTCCGTGCAGATCAAGTGGCAGCCGCCCGCGCTGCCCAACGGCACCATATCGCTCTACCACGTCGAGATACAGGCCAACAGCTACAACAGGCGCACCATCCTCGCAGACAACCTCAACTACTGCAGCAACCGTACGTATACTGATGTGTCTACTACCGCAGTTGTGTCAATTAACTATTTCTTACTAGCTTTAGTCCGCGACTCAGTGCGCATGGAATAAAAAACCAAGTAGTCTATGTTTTACCAGACAATCTATGACAAATTTCATGGAGATCCTTTCAGTAGTTTGAGGTACAAACTCTAATAAACACTTACTAAGATGGTATTACAGAATATTTACAGCCGGAGGCCTAATTTTAATCCTATTTCCTTTCCACCCTTTTCTTAAGGGAAAAGGATGGGAGGGAAAAGTGGATTTGACGGTGGAGGAGACGCATCGGAAGGGGAAATGTCCTCTTTATGTGCATCTCCTCCTCCGTCAATTAGGATAGGCAACGCATCTGCAATTGCGGATGTTTATGGGCAGCGGTCGCTTTCCATTTCGGTGGATTCAGGTGGCCGCTTGCTCATTTTCCACCTCGTATTATAAAAAAAAATATTAGGAGTTACTAAGCCGTGTCAATAAAATAATTAAAAAAAAAACAATTCCTGATGCTAATCATATGTAATTTTTTACAGCGAGTGCCTTATCCAATATGATAACGGTACGCAACGAGGAGGTGGCGGAGGGCGGGGAGGGTGCGGGGGGCGCGGCGGAGGGCGAGGCGGGCGGGAAGGGGGCGGGTGCGGGTGTGGGGGCGGGCGAGGTGGGCGGCACGTGCGCCTGCGCGCCCACGCCTAACGAGCGGTTCACGTCGCGCGCGGAGCAGGAGCGCATTGACAGCATCGACTTTGAGAACTTCATACAGAACCATGTAAGAACTAATACATCCTTCTAAATTGTATGATTTAACTAGCTTTCGACAGCGTATAATTAGAAAAAAAAATCAAAATTAGTAGTAGTAATACTAAGTGTTCTTCCAGACTATGTCTATATCTATGCCAAATTTCATCGCAATCCGCTTAACAATTTAGGCCACAAACTCTGAGAAACATCTATCTATCCAACTTTCGCATTTATGATATTAGTGAGATTACAAAGAATAGTGATTATTAAAAAATATTTTTAACATTATTTGTTCTCTCTTCTAGGTTTACATACGTAATGAAAAAGTTAAAACTCAAAAATCGGGCGGCGGCAAAGTGAAGCGGGCTATAGAGAAAGAAATAAACAGCATGTTGGTCATCTTGAGCGGATATAACAAACCGAAACAAGGCTTGAAGTACTACAACTCTACCGACACTGAAGGTATGTTACCTAGTACTGTCACTTCCAACTTTACTAAATCACCTCATTATTATAAACAATTTCTGCTAATACTGTCTCTGCTTACCCTCATTACGCTTTTATCATCCCTCATCAATGCCAACATTATTTCAGTCAAATGCGGCATCCAGTCTAAAGCTTGCATCATAAAGGACCATACTACAGGTTACTGAATTTTTATACCGCGGACAGCGGCTACAGCCGTGGGCATCGCCAGACGATAATCTAGGCTAGATCTAGTCGGAGCAGTATTGTTAATATCCTCTTATTGGACGTAGTTTTCTATATTATATTTTTGGAGAGCAGTTATCCCCTCTGGCGACGCCCATGGTTACAACATGACATTATATGTACAAAAAAGCATGTTATCGCTAGTACTTAACTCAGACCTTGGTGTGGCAATAAAACATCCTAATAACTGTAACTTTGACTTTTGTGCGAATGAAATCCATTGCTTTGCATGTTTTCTTTGTTGTAGTAGACTTGTTCGGTGTTGTTTTGAATTTAATTACAAAATAATGTGACGAATATTCATCTTATTGTAAGTCAAGAACAGAGGGATATATATTACTATGATAACGTTTTATTGGTAAATTTCGCAGCATTTGTTGCACGAAAGAACCATCGACAGGTATAGCACCCCCACTACATATTCATAGACGCAAAGTGGAAGTATCTCTCTATTTTGAAGATAGAGTGAGCCAAAATTCATTTTCAAGTCTCTAAAAAAACTATCATAACATGTTTAGGATACGTAAAGTCGCTGTACTTCGAGCTGGATGGCAGCGCGCGGTCGCTGGTGGTGGAGGAGATGCGGCACTACACCTGGTACACCGTCAACCTGTGGGCCTGCCGCCAGAAGCAGGGCTACGAGCCTGAGGACAACTACGACAAGACTTGGTGCTCCGGACGCACGTTTAACACCTTCCGGACATTAGGGCTGCGTAAGTATGCATAACTAGCTTTCGCCCGCGACTCCGTCCGCGTGGAATTTAAAAAAAAGTGGGTACCTTATGTATTCTTCCAGACTATCCTCTACATCTATGCCAAATTTTATAGAGATAGCTTCAGCCGTTTAGGCTACAAACTCTAACAAATATCCATCCATCCATCTAAACTTTCTCATTTTTAATATATACATATACATAAAAACATAATTGTGGTGGGGAATATAATTGTAAAAAGGGAATATTCGATATTAAGGAATCCCAATTAATTTTTGTCAAAATATTTAATGCCATTGTATTTGCAACGTAGGCGTAGTTAAAATTCCGTTTCTTTCGTCAGCAAACGCCGACGTGGTTCAGGATGTCCGTGTGGAAGTGATAACATCAAACAAGACGCTGCCGGAACTGAATGTAACTTGGAAGCCGCCGGACAACCCGAATGGATTCGCAATAGCTTACTTCGTGCAGCACTCGCGGATCGTGGACAACAATCAAGTAAGATTTATGCCTTATTTAAAAAAAATCAAATGTCTTTTTAATGAATTCAAATAATGTCGAAGTTCTAACATCATGGATATTAAAAATATCAACCTTTCATGACAGAGGAAAAATTGTATAATTTTGTAGATATATAAATTACCTATAATACTATATACTTAATTTGAGTTATGTTTAATGTAGAATACTTGTTCCTGATAGACTGAAACGTTGCGTCTTCCGATTCTCTAGTGAATGGCGTCAATTTCAAAATAGCCAAAAAGTGATTCACGGGGTTCAGAACTTCAACGACGATATGTTTTACAGCTTTTTTATTTTATTTATTACTTTTGCACAAATAATACAACAGGAAGCTACAATTAAGTTATTTTTAGACTTGCGTAAGGGCGGCCTTATCGCTAAAAGCGACAAGAGAAGCAAGACAAACATACCCCTTGTATGTTATATTATTTAATTTTGTGTGCAACGTGAATGTTATTAGTATAAATATGTGTTACGTAGGCGCAGGACGTGGGGCTGCAGCGCTGCATCACGGCGACGGACTACGAGGCGAACGGGCGCGGCTACACGCTGCGCAACATGGCGCCCGGCAACTACAGCGTGCGCGTCACGCCCGTCACCGTCAGCGGCGCCGGCAACGTCTCCGCGCTCGTCTACGTCTTCATACCGGTACCACACACGCTACGTCACTTCACCCTTTCTACCTACATCATACACATTTAACGACTTGGTTTTAACGTAGATTAAAATTTCGTTTTATCTTCTAAAACTGATTATATTAATACTAGCTGTTCCATTTACATTTTTACATTTGTCAAATTTTAAATTTGCCTTCTTTATGTTGGCAGCTTGTAGTTTATGGTCCCTTTCCCACATTAAGGTTTTTCCAATTTACTCCCTAAGTTTAAAAGCGTGAAAATTGGTACACTAAAACGTGTCGTAAATGTAGAGCGTTTTATTAAAGAAATAATTAGTCAAATATCTGCTGTGATTGCTGGCTACGCCACACAGTAGTGGGTGTTTAGCTTTATTATATTAGTATAGATTTGTACATTACAATAACAATTTGTTTACAAAATGTAGTTAAGAACAGTTATATGACGAGGGCGCTATAGCGTCAATTGGTCCCTGCACCCCGCGCCCCTCTGCATCTGGCCTTCCTCGCGATCGGTCTGCATCGTAGAGTGTTTATTATTAACTACGTCGCATTCCATAGGCCAAAACTAAAACTTGTTGTGTATCTAGTTGTATAAATGTGTACGTGTCGTCAGGACCGCGACTCGGAGGCGGGGTTCCTGTGGGCGTGGGGCGTGGCGGCGGGCGCGCTGCTGCTGGTGCTGCTGTCGGGCGGCGCGTGGTACGCCCGCCGCGCGCTGCCCTCGCACGAGGGCAACAAGCTCTTCGCCACCGTCAACCCCGAGTACGTGTCCACAGTCTACGTGCCCGACGAGTGGGAGCTGCCGCGCTCCAGCATCGAGTTCATACGCGAACTGGGACAGGGCTCCTTTGGAATGGTAAGAAATAATACTGAATAAATCAAATAAATCCCTATTTCAATACTATCTTAATTAAATTGTATTAATATTTTCAGGTATATGAAGGTATCGCTAAAAGCATAGAAAAAGGTAAACCGGAAACTCGATGCGCTGTGAAAACTGTAAATGAACATGCCACTGACAGGTAATGTGTTTTTCACGTTTTTATTTCATATTTAAATTTTATTAGTTTCATTATTTAGGTCAAAGTTGTCATTTGTTTTTTGTTGATAACTTTGTGTTTAATGATGAAAAAAGGTTATCATTTTGACTAAATTGAGAGTATGTTTTTGTACAGGGAGCGCATCGAGTTCCTGAACGAGGCGTCAGTGATGAAGGCTTTCGACACTTACCACGTGGTGCGGCTGCTGGGCGTGGTGTCGCGCGGACAGCCCACGCTCGTCGTCATGGAGCTGATGGAGTGCGGAGACCTCAAGACCTACCTGCGCTCGCACCGGCCTGATGCTGACTCCTCGCTGCCCAAGAAGGACGACGGCGCCCCGCCCACGCTGCAGAACATACTGCAGGTAACACACAACACTGAACACCGATACTAGCGACTGCAACATTCATACAAGTTGTTGTTTAATTTCGATAGATGCAAATTAGGAAATCGTCGTTGAAATTCTTACACTACGTTTGCCAAAAATAGCAGCTTTTCATGAAAAAGAAAATACTGCATAATTTTCTAAAGATACTATACTAATACTCTGTTATTCTGAATTATAGTTATTTTTAATGTAAAATACGTGTTTCTGTTAGACTGAAACGATGCGTCTTCCTATTCTATGGCTAATGGCATCAAAATGTCAAAATAGCCAAAAAGTGAGTTAACGTGTTGGAAGTTCAAGGACGATATACGATTGTAGATGGCGATAGAGATAGCGGACGGCATGGCGTACCTGTCCGCCAAGAAGTACGTGCACCGCGACCTGGCGGCGCGCAACTGCATGGTCGCCGGAGACCTCACCGTCAAGGTCGGCGACTTCGGCATGACCAGAGACATCTACGAGACGGACTACTACCGCAAGGGCACCAAGGGCCTGCTGCCCGTGCGCTGGATGAGCCCCGAGAGCCTCAAGGACGGGGTTAATACTTTGAAATCTCAATATAACTTCAACTAAGGCACTATTTTTATTATATGCGTTATAATTGAATTACAGGTGTTTTCAAGTAACAGTGACGTATGGAGTTACGGTGTCGTGTTGTGGGAAATGGCGACGCTCGCGATGCAACCCTATCAGGTATTAACACTACATAGCCTCGAATGCAAGTCGCCGATCCCTTGCATTTTTTTTCACATGATCCATTTAATTTATTGTGTTGAAATAAATTGCCAATACGTGTCATTAAATAATATTTGTTTTATTTTGAGCCACTGTTTAGTTTATTTTATAACAAAAGATCGAGCTTATAATTTTGTAAAAAGTTTTTTTAACATAGTACCTTTCAAAGAAGTTAAAAAATGTTGTTCACTATGTCTAGTTTATATATTAGTTTAATGTTTTTGCATGTCATTGAAGTGTGGTGTGTGGTAGGGTTTATCAAACGAGCAAGTGGTGCGGTACGTGGTGGAGGGCGGAGTGATGGAGCGGCCGGAGCACTGCCCCGACCGGCTGTACG